AGAAAAAATTAAAGTAAAAAAGTCACCTGTATGGGTCTGGGAAGGTGGCTCAGTGGTAGAGCGCTTGCCTTGCATACCTGAGGCCCTGGGTTCGATTCCTCAGCACCACATAAGCAAAAAGAAAAAAGGCAGAAGTGGCGCTGTGACTCAAGTGGTAGAGCACTAGCCTTGAGCTGAAGAGCTGAGTGACAGTGCCCAGGCCCAGAGTTCAGGCCCCACGACCAGACCCCCCCCAAAAAAAGTCACCTGTATATCACTATTATAATAATAAAGAAAAAGAAGTATAGGATTAAAAAATAAATTGCTGTACTCATGCTACTTAGCAATGAAAAGAACCACCAGAACTGCAGGTTTTCAAATTCCTTTTTTGGAATATTTTCATATACATAATAAGAAATCTTAGAGACCCAAACCTAAACACAACATTCACTTACATTTCAGAAATACTTTATACACCAAGCTATGTTTTAGTGCATGTGGTGTGTGTATGTGTGTGAGCATGCGTGTGCATGTGCACGCACGCATGTGTTTGTGATGGTACTGAAGCTTAAACTCAGGGCCTTATGTCTCACTTGGTTTTATTACTCAAGGCTGGCACTCTACCACTTGAGTAACAACTCCACTTCCAGTGTTTTGCAGGTTAATTGGATATAAGAGTTTCACTTTTCTGCTTGGGCTGGCTTTATTCTCAGTCCTTAGATCTTAGCCTCCTGACTAGCTAGGATTACAGGCTTGAGCTACCTGCACCTGTGTTTTGATGTCAACCTACTACAGAAGGTCAGTTGTGGAATTTTCCACTTGTAGTATCATATGGATGCTCAAAATGTTTTGAATTTGAAGCAGGGAAGATTTGGAGTTTTAGATTAGGGAAGCTTGACTTGCACCTTGGACAATTTGATTATATCTCTCAGTTGAAAAAATGCCAATCCTTAAACAATCACATGCTGTTTGCTTTTATCTTTAGCACATTCTTGCAAATGAAGAAATGGAGAGCAGACAACAATAGATTTGTAGTTTGGGGCAAAAGTTGGGGGAAGAGGTCTGGGCTAGGCATGGCCTGAGCTGCCTTAGAGTGATGGAATATTCCCTATCCTGATTGTAGCCTTGCTGTCATGTGTTGCAAGATGTTACCACTGGGGTAAAGGAGTAAAAGGCCCAAGGGGATAGCTCTGTGTTATTTCTTAAGCCTGACAAAAGCTGAATTGACAGTTCTCTCAAAATAAATCAAAGTTTCATTAAAAAAAAAAAAAAGAATTGCCAGCACATAAGAATCAGAAGGTACGGAAAAGATCAGAAGACATGGTAGTGCTGGGCTTACCATTCTGTATAGTAACCATCATCAGGTGCCAGTCCTTACTGTTCCTATATCCTAACATTTACAAAGGTCCACTTTGCCATCTGCATGGCAGAGATTTGTTCTACCCCTCCAGTCTACCATATTGGGTCTCTGTGTACAACTGTTTGTCCAAAGGGGCTGAATGCTGACATAGTTGAAAATCACTGGTCTAAAGCAATATTTCCTTATAACAAGACAAAACAGGCCCAGAGATGGTCACACAAATGATCTGAAGCCCCAGCAGCAAAACCATGCTCTAAAGAATTGAGCAACTTCTCTTGCTCCACTTCTGTCCCTCTGAGGTCAGGGTGAAGGAGTGCAGCCCGTATAAGCAAAGACCCTGTGGTAAGGCCCACACACCTCTACAATCATGACCAGCCTATCCAGGACACAGGAATGCAAAATTAGATGTAGGAAATTTCCAGTAAACTGTCAATTTTCTTGTAAGGCTTACTGAGACTGGGTGATGATTTGTCATTATTGCTTGGGGGCAAGGCGAAGGCCAAACCTGAAGTTTCTCTACTTGGTGTTGTTTAGAAATTCCATTAGCCAAAAGAAAGGAGCTAGGAGAAGAAGGCACAAGGGAAGAGTGAAAAGAGAGAAAAGCAAAAGAAAGGAAGAGAAGGCCCACCAGGGCTGCTGAGACTGTGGCATTTGGATATCCTGGTGTCTCCAAGTTTGATTCTCATACTCAGTAGAGAGGCAGAATACTATGAGTTGATGGAATAGGAGAAAAAGAGGATCTGGGTGCTGGTGGCTCATGCTTGTAATCCTAGCTACTCAGGAGGCTAAAATCTGAGGGTCATGCTTCAAAGCCAGCCTGGGCAGGAAAGTGGGTGAGACTCTTATCTCCAATAAAGTACTTAGCAAAAGCTGGAAGTGGAGCTGTGGCTCAAATGGTAGAGCACTATCCTTGAACAAAAAAACTCAGGGATACTGCCCAGACCCTGAGTTCAAACTTCTGGGCCAGCCCCCTGCCCCCAAAAAAATAAGGAGGAAAGAAAAAGAAAAGAGGAAGGGTTTAGTTGGATACTGTCAGCCAACAAGTTGGATAAACTGGATTTGGGGGTACAGCTTCTGACTGAAGTGTAAGGGTTGGGGGTGGGGACAAGCACACTCCATTCTGCTCAGATGGCCACTTGGGTAAGTGTGGGTCCCAGCTACAACCAGTGGCCAGAGGTTTATAGAGGCTTTAATCACAAGAAGAATGGAATTCACACATCCATTGCACCTGCCCTGGATTTAGTGATGGGAGGCTGTCCATGAGGATGACCTGAAGAAATTAATAGTCACAGCTGGATTTGGTAGCCCAATCCTGTAATACCAACTACTCAATAGGCAGAGATAAGGAAGACTATGGATCAATGCCAGCTGGGCAAAAGGTTAGTTTAATGAGACCCCATCTCAACCAACAAACTAGGTGTGGTAGTTCATACTTGTGATTTCAACTATGAAGGAGGCATAGATAGGAGGATCATGGTTTAGGCCAGCCTGGGCCTAGAAAAGCATGATATTCTATCTAAAAAAATAACTAAAGCAGAAAAAATTAAATCCTCTGGCTGAGGATATGATTCAAGTGCTAACAGGCAACAGTGCCTACTTATTAGCACAAAGCTTTGAGTTCAACCCCAGTATCACAGGATAGGAAGGAAGGGGCAGGAGGCTTACATTCTGGTTCCCATAGTCCAAGGAGGAGGCTACTAGTTCCTCAGAGCCTCCAGTTCAGGGCCTGAGATCCCAGAAGAGGGGCTGATTGGCAGAAGCTGCCTGAGACTGGGGGAGGAAGCAGGCTAGAGCCCCTTGTTGGGCTTTCTTTGCAGATTTTTCCCTGATCAAACACTATGATAGGTAGTCCCTGGGAATATTCCAGGGCAAGTAGGAAAAATAAAAGTTTTCTGTAAGCCAGGCAGCCATGGCTGCTCACACCTGTAATCCTAGCTCCTCAGGAAGCTGCGATCTGAGGATTGCAGTTCAAAACCAGACCAATCAGGAAAGTCTGTGAGACTCTTAGCTCCAATTAATTTCCAAAAAGCAGAAAGTGGATCTGTAGAGCACTAGCCTTAAGTACAAAAGCTCAGGGTCAGCACCCAGGAGTTCAAGCCCCAGGACTGGCAAAAGAAAAAAAATGTTTTCTATAATCCCTACTAGTATCCTTCCCCCTTCTAAGGTAGCTGAATGACAAGCCCCAAGCTTAGCATAGCCCCTGTGTGTATCTGATGGGAAGGAACACAAAATGATCAGAAAAAGGTGCCAGGGACCAAGAGGGCAAGGCTCTAGGTCTTATGGGAAAGAGGAAAAAAAGGTCCCTGCTGACTTCTTAATGGAAGGAACCTGGGATGTTTAGGCTGTTGGGGTGGGGATGAGGGGGTTGGTGTAAAAACCATTTGTGGAGTCTTTGAGAAAGTCTTCATTCCTCCCCAAACCCTCTATGTGGGTGGCTTGGAGGAAGAGAGTGTCACAGACACAGAAGTAGCACAGTGTGGGAGGAAGGACTAGCTGACGCTCCTCCCACTTAAAACAGCTGGCTCTCTACTTTGGAGCCCAGCATCATCTCCCTTGGCAGATGCACTGCAGGCACGAAAGGGTTAATGACCATTACACGGGCTACATGCCATCCAAAAGAGCTGGGAGGACCATACCTGGGCTTAGATGTCCAAACAAAAGGTAGAGGTGACTGGAGTGGATGAACCCTCCCTCCCCCAAAAAATACAAGTTCAACAACAATCACATCCATGTGAAACCCCAGCTGGCCCCAGAGTCCTCCTCTAGGCAAGACCTGTGGTAACCACACACTGGTTAGCAAGTACAGGAAGCTTGGCTCAGGGTGGAAGCATGCCTCTGAGCTCCAGGCCCTCACAGAGAGACTGCAGGATGCCACAGGCAGAAGTTCCCAAGAGAAGCATGCAAATGACATACTTGCTACCAGAAGTAAACAATCACACTTGGCCCCATGCCTCTGCATGGAAGGCTCCTCTGGGGGTTCCAGTGGATTGTAGGAAAGCATGCCACCCTCATGCCCAGGGCTACAGCACCTGACAGTCTGCAAAGAGTAGGTAAGCAGCTATGGCTTGGGATGTCCCAAGACAAAGAGTGACCGCAATCAGCAACCTCCAGCCCTAAACAAGACCCTCTTGGTGCCAGGGACTTGTCCTCCCTTCCAGCAACTCTTATGATTGTGGAGCAATTTCCAGAACTGGTATCTCTATGTGGATATGGATAAGTGTGCTCAGAGATTAGGCGTGCATGCCCAACATGGCCTTCCTCATGCCTTCTCCCAGTGCCCAGCCTTCAGACTCACAGGGGGGACAGGCCCTGCGATGAAGGGGCAGACAAAGCACTGGCCGGCTGCCCTCACAGGGAGAGGTGCCCTCATTCTCTGTAGCCCAGCAAAGATCAGAGCAGCCCTGCTCCTGCCCAGGGACAGAGCCAGGAGTGCCTAGAGTCCTATTGCTGCAGCCTGGGTATGGACATTCAGCTCCAGGCACCCACCTTATGGATCCATAATAGGCATCCATGCCAGCATAGGCTGGCATCCTTTGTGGGCCGGGCTTTCCAAAATACATGAACTTGGCAGGTTCCTTCCATGAGTCATGTGGCCTGGGAGCTGCCTGGGGAGGGATGGGGTTAGAGGGTAAGGCCATGGAGCCTGCGTGCAGGCACCTACCTTGACCTGCGCAGAGCTTCTTCATCCGGGTCTTGCACTGTGGGCAGAAAGAAGCCAGTCAGGAGGACTCACCGAGCACAGAAGAAATACCATTGATGCTCTGTGCAGAGTAAGTCCCCAGAATTCAGCCAGGCCTTGAACACTTCCTGCCTCATGCCTGTCAACTGGAGAAAGGAGCTCAGCAGAGAGCCAGGAGGGGTTTGGATACAGTTGAGGGAGAGTGATCATAGCCCAGCCTGCAATGTTCTCTTGTCCCAGCCCTGGAAGTCATGTTGCCTGAAAATTGTGTGACACCTTGTTGCTAGGGGTGGAAGGTTGCTATGAATGGACAGCCCACCCAGAGGGTCCCACAAGAGCTCTGCCCACTGCTAGCAGTTCATCACCATTAATTTGTTCCCAAGGGTTGGTGGCTTGGCTTCTTGGCTTAAGACTGTGCAGTAGGCTGGGCACCAGTGGTTCCTGCCTATAATTCTAGCTATTCAGTGGGCTGAGATCTGAGGATCATGGTTCAAAGGCATCCCAGGCAGGAAAATCCATGAAACTCTTATCATAAATTCCAGAAAAGCTGGAAATGCAGCTGTGGCTAAAGTGGTAGGGCACCAGCCTTGAGCAAAAAAAGCTATAGTGCCTAGGTTCTGAGTTCAAGCTCCAGTACTGGTACACACACACACACACACACACACACACACACACACAGACTGTGCATTAGGACCAAGGACCTTCCTGGGCCTCAGGGTCACCCTCCTCTGGTCCCACCCTGGTAGCCCTCACTCACTGAATTCCGTCCCCGTCATCTGGGCCAGGATACGGAAGGAGCGAGACTGCAGGTTTGAGGACCGGCGAGCCCACTCATCAGCCTCGTCTTCCGGCTTGCTCTGGTTCTTGATCACAGCCTGGTATACAGGAGAGGCGCTGTCCACCGCCAGGTCCTTCACAGGAAGGCTCCTGCAGCGTAGAAATCAGTGTGGGCTGGGGCTGGAGTGGAACTCGGGTTCCCCCTTCACTGTGCCTCCTCCCACCATGTCCTCCCACCTCCCAGATGCCCGTTGGTGATACTACTGTTCAGGCCCCACCAGGCCACAGTTCAGTTCCCAGTGCTATTGGGTACTTGAGACAGTGGATCCTCAGTGCTCAGGGTGGTCCAAGCAAAGCAGTGGCTCCTCTTCCCTACCAGGGGTCAGGAGCCTCCATCTCTCCTGTTTGTCCCTCCCTAGTGCTAACTCCAGTCCTGAAGTCACCTGCCCCATCCCATGGTGAATTCTTGCAGAATCCTGGGCAGATTTCCTTGAAGTAATGTTGATCACCCTGATGTAATGCTGATCTCCCTGAGGGAGCCCTGAGTTTGGGGCCCAGGTACCCTTACCACCCTCCTACAGGAAGCTGGCAATACTGTGCTGCCTAGAAGAGGGCCCTGGGCTCTGGAGCTCAGCAATAGACAGGTAGACCCAGGTAAGAAGTGTGAGATACAAGGTAACAAGACCCATGAGGGCCTGGCACAACCCATAGGCGTTAGGGTTGAAGGTCAGGACAGGGGAGTTTGGGAGTCCGGTAGGGGAAGGCCTCAGGTCCTCTGCCCCAGGACAGAACAGTCCTTTGAGGAAGGACTTCTAGAATCTGGAACTTGGTAGACGCTGGGTACCAGTGGCTCATGCCTGTTATCCTGCTCAGGAGGCTGAGATGTGTGGATCACAGTTTGAAGCCAGCCGAGGCAGGAAAGTCCATGAGATTCTTATTTCTAATTAACCACCAAAAAAGCAGGAAGTGGAGCTGTGGCTCAAGAGGTAGAATACTAGCCTTGAGCAAAAAATGCTAAGGGACAGTGCCCTGAGTTCAAGTCCTAGGACCAGGACACACACACACACACACACACACACACACACACACGCACACACACAAATAGCAGATGAAAACAACCTTTTAGTTGAATGAGTGAATCCCGGCTTGAGGTCAGGGGAGGAAGCCCATGCAAAACTCACAGTAATGGCTGCCAGTCTAGCCTTCTCTCAAAAACATTGAAACTGAGGTCCAGAGAGTATAGCTGCTAGAATTCAGGCATCCTGGAGCTTAGCCCAGTGTCCTTTTTTTTTTTTTTTTTTTGTCGGTCGTGGGGCTTGAACTCTGGGCCTGGGCGCTGTCCCTCAGCTCTTCAGCTCAAGGCGAGTGCTCTACCACTTGAGCTACAACACCACTTCCGGTTTTCTAGTGGTTTATTGGAGATAAGAGTTTCACAGACTTTCCTGCCCGGGCTGGCTTTGAACCACGATCCTCAGGTCTCAGCCTCCTGAGTAGCTAGGATTACAGGCGTGCGCCACTGGTGCCCGGCTCCCAGTGTCCTTTTTATCAGGCCCTGCATAGTCATGGTAGGTCCAGAAGGCCACTCCTGGCCATCAAAACCTTTACTGACAAAGCTCTGATGGATGATGACATGATCTACCCAACATCCTTCTGCCTGCTTCCATTCTGGCCCACAGAAGACTGGCTGGCTAGGGAGGATCTCCTTGCTGCAAGGAGCTAGAGAATTGACTCTGTCTTCCATGATTGGTTTCCCTGGGCCTCGCTCAGAATGGACTAGGCCAGCAGAGATGAAAAAAGGGATCAAAGGTAGATAGCAATGTCTCCAGTTCTGCCTAGGCCTGGAGAGCTGTGGGGATTGTGGGCTGAGGATTAAAATCAGATAGGGAGGCTCTGCAGACCCCTCTAGGATCTAGCTAGGAAGTAGGCTGAGCTGCCCAGAAAGTGCATTGCAAGGTAGGAAGGATCCCTAGGTCTCCTAAGATCTTTAGGTGAAATAGGTAATAAGAAGGGGGTTGGGAAGGTAGCTCAGTAGAAGAGTATTTGCTTGGCAAGTAAGTGCAAGGCCCTGAATTTGGTCCCCGGTGCCACAGAAACAAAAAACCACACACACACACACACACACACAAACACACAACCCGATCTTCCTTGCTCTTGACTCCTGCCCTGCTGGGAGAAGAGGAAGGGAGGAATAGATGCAAACCAAGGCCTTGCCCTCCAGCCTGTCTACATTTATGATCCAGAAAGCATATTAGAGGCACTTGTTTCCATTTCCCTGGGGGGGGGTGTGTGTGCGTGTGTATGTGTGTGTATGTATGTATGTATGAAGAGCTGTTCTGTGTCTTCCCCAGCTCCAAGGGCTCAAGAAAGCTTCCAAGATTGAGTTCCTCAGAACTCAGCAGTGATGTCTTTCTTTCCCACCAAACTGCAAGGAGCAGAGATCGGTGTCTCTTTTGCAGCAAGGATCGGGAGGGAGGTAAGGGAATCAATCACAGGGCCTTTCTAGCAAGGGAAGACATGTGTAAGAGAGGACAGAACAGGCTCTCAAGTCCCAGAACCTGGTGCTGCTCTCTGCAGACACATAGAGTTTCTGCTTCTCACCACAGAAAAGACTTTTCAGTTATGAAAGTTCAAGATCACCCCTGACATTTACTCCACTGAGTACTCTTCCCAAATCTGATTCATCTTTCACCTTCCTGGAACAGTCCTAGCTGGCACAGACCCCCCCCAGATCTTTCTCTCAGGAGGATTCTGGGAAGTAGCCATGAAGAGATCCTTTTGCCACCCTCGGGCGCTGAATAATGACCCAGTGTGGAATGTGACCCCAGGTCCACACTGTGCAATGCAGAGAGGAGGCTGGGGGTGGGGAGGATCTTCCCTAAAGCATGGCCTTAGGCTGGGCGTAGTGTGAGTGTTGTTACTCTGGATTTCTGTAGCCACATTGACATTCTTGGGAGCTTGTGTAGGGCTGCAGGGGATGTCGTTTGGCTGCGAGGTGGGTGTGAGGAAGAATGTGGACAGAGCACACGCACTGACCACTGGTCCTCAGACACATCCCATCAAAACCCACACACCATCCCGCAACCAGACAGACAAGACGGCGCGACAGACACACTGCAAGTCTACTTACGCCAGCGGCGATGCCCTGCCAAGCAGAGGGAAACCCAGCCGTGGGTTGGGCGTCCATCATGGGGTGGCAGAGGGGCAGCACATACAAGAGAGTGGGGTTAGGATATCAGAAGTGAGTTAGGGGATGGGTGGAAGAGAAGAGATAGAAAGAGAGAGAGAAAGAAACAGAGAACACAGTCAGTGAGGAAGGGATCTTGGGAGTGAACAGCAGCAACAAGAGCTCGTTAGGGCCAGGAGGGCTCCCCATTGGCACCAAAGCAGCCACAATCCAGCGTGGCTGAGTTAAAAAGGGAAAGGGGAACAACTGATCCTGTCCAGAAACACCAGAGAAAGAAGAGGGAGGGAAGGAAAGGGAATGAGAAGGACATGGGAAAGATCAAGATTAATCAGTGGTGTATCATATTCCAAAAGATCATAGGTGCCCTGATGCTGACAGTAACCAAGGTGCAGAAAATACAAAGTGTGAAGAGTAGTTCTTCCATTGTTTCCCATTATTATTATTATTTATTTTTATTTATTTATTTATTTTGGTGTCTGCTACCCCATTTAAGAGGATACCAAAGACCAGTTAGCAAAAAAAAAAAAAAGTTAACAGGAAATCTCAGATGGTTCTTGGGTTCAATCAGGAAGTTTTGTTTTTCTTGGTAGATGTGAGATATTGGTTGTTTTTAATTTACATGGTCATATTTCCTGCTTTGAATAATGGATTTAAATCCATCAGTGCTGCCCAAGGATCTGACCCTGAGTCTAGCTGGTTTGAGACTTGTAGCCCCAAAGTTGGTGATCTCCACCCCCTAGTGGTGACAATGAAGTACTACATTCCCTAGAGGACACCACAGCTCCCCAAGACCAGGAAGCCCAAGAATTTGTACACCCAGGGCACGCAGGATTCCATCCCCTGGCCTCTGGAGCCTGTCCTGAGCCACAAGGACTGGATCTGCAAAGGCAAACCCTATAAGATCTTCCTGGGATTTTAACCTTATATTCCTCTTAAAACATATGTTTTCATAACTTAAAAAATAATTACTATCCAGACTTTTTGCTCTGATTGCCAAGGATACTGTCCAAGGAATAAGATATTGCTTGAAGAAAGAATCAACCAATACTGTAAGTCAACACTATGGCATTCCTAAGCAGAAAAACACAAGGAACTCTGTGTGTATATGATTATCTAGGGGGGAAAAAAGCTAGGAGAGAAAGAGAGACAGAGACACAGGAAGATAGTAAGAGGGAGAAGAAAATAGGGAGAAAGAGATAGAGACAAAGAAATAGAGAGAGACAGAAATAGAGATAGAAGGACAGACACGGAGAGAAAGAGACAAGAAAGGAGCCAACGCCAGTAGCTCACGCCTGTAATCTTAGCTACTTAGGAGGCTGAGACTCAGAGGTTGCAGTTTGAAGCCAGCCTAAGGCAGAAAAGTCCACAAGATTCTATTTCTAATAAACCAGCCAAAAGCCAGACTGGAGGCATGGCTTAAGGATATAGCTCCAGCCTTGAGCAAGCAAGCTAAAGGAGCATGGCAAGGCCCTGAGTTCAAGGCCTGGCACTGGCAAAAAGAATATGTAGTAAATAAGGAAAGAGCGAGAAAGAGAGAGAGAGAGAGAGAGAATGAGAGAGAGAATGAGAGAGAGATTAATGTTTGCACAATTAGTAGCTTCATCTGCAAGAGTTTCAGCAGCTGTCTTCCTAATCCACCTTGAAATTTCTAGTCTTAACTAATTCCAGTCTTAACAAATCATTAGAACAAACATATCTTGCCAGGTGTCGGTGGCTCACACCTGTGATCCTAGCTACTCAGGAGGCTGAGATCTGAGGATCGCAGTTCAAAGCCAGCCCAGGCAGGAAAGTCCGTGAGACTCTTATCTCCAATAAACCACTAGAAAACCAGAAGTGGCGCTGTGGCTCATGCAGTAGAGCACTAGCCTTGAGCTGAAGAGCACAGGGACAGCGCCCAAGCCCAGAGTTCAAACCCTACCACCGACAAAAAAGAAAATCTTAAATTCCACTGTCCTGAGACCAGGCTTCGTGGGACAGGGAGAATGAGGGAGATGCCCATCAGCAGGGGATTGGCTGCCACATTTAGCTTCGATGGCTGACCTGAAGCATCTTCCCAATAAGCAACCTGAATGAAGAACCAAGAATGAAGCAACCCCGCTCCCTTTCCCAAGAATGGCTTAGTGGAGAAAGGCCTAGGGCTCTCCGGTGAAGTCTAAAGCAGCCTTTGTATGATGCCAGGAAAATACAGAGACTGTGAAAAGATCTTTGAGAAATCGCCACATTCTGCATCCTTCACCTTTCTCCTTAAAGCTGAGCGTGGAGTAGATTCTGACGTGGAAGACAACTGTACTTTGGAAGCCCTGGTGAAGGCTGACTTTACCCCCACCCCCAAAGGTTTGTGTGGAAGAGGCCCAAGGTGAGGGAAAAAGTCAGTGCTGATGGCATCCGGTGGCCTCGGCGGGCAGGTGGAGATGGACAGGCGCTTACCCACTGAAGTCACTGCCTTGAGCCTGGGCCTGCCCGGCGATGGCATCCATGATGGCATCCTGGGAGTACATGCTGATGGGTGTGTTGTACTGCGCATGGATGATGGTGGCCTTGCCACCCAGTCCCTTCACCTCAATGGGCTTGTGGGTGGACAGGGCTGAGTCCTTCAAGGCACTGGGGTTGAAACGTTCCTGGTAGTCAGCACTGGAGGCAGCACATGAGGGGCAGGAAGGAAGGAAGGAAGGGAGGGAGGAGGGAGGGAGGGGGGAGGAGGGAGGGAATGGAAGAAAGGAAGCAAGGGAAGAAAGGAAGGAAGGGAAGGAAGGAGGGGAGGGAAGGAGGAAGGGGAGGAGGGAGGAAAGGAGGAAGGAAGGAAGGTATGGAAGGAAGGAGGGAAGAAGGAAGAAGGAAAGAAGGAAGGGGAGGGAGGGAGAGGAGGAGGGAAGAGGGAAAGGAGGGAGGGAGGGGGGAGGGAGGGAGGGAAGGGAGGGAGGGAATGGAAGAAAGGAAGCAAGGGAAGAAAGGAAGGAAGGGAAGGAAGGAGGGGAGGGAAGGAGGAAGGGGAGGAGGGAGGAAAGGAGGAAGGAAGGAAGGTATGGAAGGAAGGAGGGAAGAAGGAAGAAGGAAAGAAGGAAGGGGAGGGAGGGAGAGGAGGAGGGAAGAGGGAAAGGAAGAAGAAAGGAAAGAAAAAAGGAAGAAAAGGATAGAGAGAGGAGGGAAAGGAGGAAGGAAAGAAGGAAGGAAGGGAGGGAGGGAGGGGAGGAGAGAAGAGAGGAAAGGAGAAGAGAGGAGAAGAGGAAGAGGTCAAGGAGAGGAGGTCAAAGCTAGTCTACTGGTGGTGGGTATTAAAAGAGACCTCCCAGAGCCGAGATTCTCTCTCCAAGTAGACCCCACTGTGGTCTAGTGGTCAGGCAGCTCCTCAGCTCCTCCCCCAAGCCCCTGTGTGTGTGTGTGTGTGTGTGTGTGTGTGTGTGTGTGTTTTTCCTTGCCCATCCCAGCTCTCCCAGATCCCCCAGCAGGCACTGGCTAAGCCTGAGCGTCCTCCCATAGCCAGCAGGTGGCGCCCAACATAAGAAGCGCGCCCAGCACACACACAGTCCTAATGGAAAAGCAGAAACCAAGGCGTTAGGCGAGCAGGGACTGAGGGAAGGACAAACGCTGGGTTCATGAGAAAAGCAGCAGTAGCAAAAACGAGTCTAAAGTGTCCCAAAGGTGAAAAGCAGCCACCGTGGGCACCCGAATGAGAGCTTCCGAACGAGACTCTTCCATGAAAGGGGCTGGCTCATTGTGCCAGCTCCCCCCCTGGGGTCAGGGGCTCTCTATTCTCCTAGATGCTTCCATACATGTGTTTCTTCCTGGGAGCAGGAAGAAGGAAGGAAGGAAGGAAGGGAGGGAGGGAGGGAGGGGGGAGGGAGGGAAGGGAGGGAGGGAATGGAAGAAAGGAAGCAAGGGAAGAAAGGAAGGAAGGGAAGGAAGGAGGGGAGGGAAGGAGGAAGAGTCCCCATCTGGGGACTCTTTCCTCCAACAGATAAGTGCTCCCCAAGGAAGAGAGAAAACCAGGTGCAGTCTTTCTGGGGTCCCTCCAGGACATTAGATCTTCAGGCTCACGCAGGCCCCAGCCAAAGTGCAGCCCCAACTTTCCCTTCCCCCCAAACCAGAGTCAGCCTGCCAAGCTTAAGCCGGAAATGGGGGACAAAATCAACACCATCGAATGGACGAACACCTGCCCTGCAATGCATTCACTCTGCTCACCCACGTTACACCTTTGAAGGCTCACCCAGGGCAACAAATGCACCCCTACTCACACATGCACACACATCCGCATGCCACAGGCCATAGACGCATGCTGGGCTGGCACACGGGTACACACGCATGCTGTCTGAATACTAACTTGGCAGGAGAGTTGGCTACCACCTGAGAAGGAGAGAAAGGGCAAAGAAGACAAGGATAGTCAGAGCGAGACTCCTGCAGGGTGTATGTGTGGTGGGGGGGAGGATTTGAGGACTGGCATCACCCTTAGTCTGATCAAGACTGAGACAGAACCAGCCAAGCTGTACTAGATGGGAGAATGGAGAAGAGGAGAGCGCCCCGACTCAGGAGTCACGACCTCCAGGAGCCCTGATTTGGGCTAAAGATGCCACTGCAGCCATGCTCTGCAATGAAACCCAGTGCCCTCAGCTTTGCCAGGGAGAGGACTCTTCTCATCCATCAGGAAGGCAGCTCTTCCACACACAGACACTCCCCACCGCCCCGCCCCCATCACACAGTCTGCCTAGAGCCTGGGGAAAGGCAGCTATGGGTTGAAGACAGGCTTCAAGAAGCTCCAGGCCCCTCCTGGAGAGGCAGCTCTGGACTTAGCCCTGTTTCTGCTCCCTGAGCAGCCACTGCAGTAATTTTTTGGGGGGAAGGGTGGCCATGGTGTCCCATGGCCCCCTGGGAGTTGTTCTCCCTCCCAGAGGATAGTAGGCAGTTCTGGCAGCTCTTTATGGAACACAGAGGCAGACAGATAGATGCAATCCCCCATGACTCTTCCTAAGGATGCAGTGGATAACAGTGAACAAGAGAGAACTCAAGAGGCCCAGGAGGAGGAAAGGTCCAAGGCTTGCTACAGGAGAGGCACCAGCTGGGGCAGCCCAGTGTGGACACCATTGAGGGACCTTACCTTCCCACTGACCTGAGAGCCTGGAATTCAATGTGTTTGGGAGAGCATTGTTTACTCCCTTCCTTCCTTCCTTCCTTCCTTCCTTCCTTCCTTCCTTCCTTCCTTCCCTTCCCTTCCCTTCCCTTCCCTTCCCTTCCTTCTTTCTTTCTTCCTTCCTTTCTTTCTTCCTTCCCTTCTTTCTATCTTTCTTTCTTCTGATACTAGAGCTTGAACTCAAGGCCTGTGCTCTTCTTAGCTTTTTTATTCAAGGCTGCTGCTCTACCATTTGAGCCACTCCTCCACTTCTAGCTATTTAGTTGGAGAAAAGAGCTCTCTCAGGACAAATGCTACATGTTTTCTCTCATGTGTAGAAGCTAGATCTAAAATAGAACTCAGAATGATAACTTATACCAGACTCCAGACACTCACACACACACAAACAGACTGAAGGAGGATAGTCTGTGGGGAGGAACCCAAAGGTATAACTCCTCTGAACATTTAAAATACTATTTGTCAAAAGGAAACCCAGGAAATGGAAACATGGGCTTCTTGTTGGTGGTTTTCTTTTGTATTTTTTTTCTTTTGGGAGGGGCAAAGGTGGGCACAAAAAAGAGAGGAAAGGTGGACAAATGCAATCATGCTCCTCAGTATACACTATGTAGAAAATGAACTATGTAACTTGTGGGCAGGGTGGAAGAGGAGAACTTGAGGAAAGTGAAGAAAGGTGTGACATTGTTCAAAAAATGGATATACTCTGTTGCTTGACTTATAAAATGATGATCTCTCTGTACAACACCTTAATAATAACAATATATATATATATTTTAAAAATAAAAAGAGTTATCTCAGACTTATCTGCCCAGACTAGCTTCGAATGAGAATCCTCAGTCCTCGGCCTCCTGAGTAGGTAGGATTACAGACATGAGCCACTGGCACTTGGCACATCTAGGTTCTGTAAAATCAGATTCCCTGCACTGCAGACCCTGAGGCCAGTGACTCTGTCTGAAACCTGAGACCCAGTATGAAGGCCAGCGGGCTCTGTCTCCAAATTCTACCACCCACTATGATCTGCTCATGGTGGGCTCTGGCTGGGGGAAGTCTGGGCCCCAGCTGACTTGACCCTGATCACCCCCTAGCTAGGATCCTGGCTTTGCTCAGCCCCAGGCCCCCCACTGTCTTGGAGCTGATAAAATTCCCTCTGTCCTCCCAGAGGCTCAAAATAGCCACAAGTTGAGATATATTAGGTAAGGACCAGCTTGGAGCTTCCATTCCTTCTCCATGTTTGGCCAGTGCTGACAGCTGCAGGGTCAGCGCTTGCCCTGAGCACCACAGTGTCCCCCAGCAGGAGGCAGTGTTGGCCTGGTGGGGATGGGAATTGCCTCTGTGTAGCCCTGCAGCCAATTCCTTTGACATTGACTCCGGTCCCTTCTGAGCACTCAAGGCTAGGGTGCTTGCCACAGACTGCACTCAGAGGGGAGCTAATAGCTTCCTTTTCTCAAGGCTAGTGTTCTACTACTTGAGCCACAGCTCCACTTTTGGCTTTTTTTTTCCCAGTAGTTTGTTAGAGATAAAAGTCTCATCAACTTTCCTGCCTGGGCTGGCTTCAGATAGAGATCTTTAGATCTCAGCCTTCTGAGTAGCTAGGATTACAAGTGTAATCCACCGGTGCCCGGCTCCATCAGTTCCTTTCTAGTCCAAGCAGATAACAAGCTGCTAATAAATCACATTGTAAGCTGCCTCTCCAGGTGGAGTTGGGGACAGGACTTCTTTTGTAGTATTCTTTTTTTTTTGTCCGGTTGTGGGGCCTGAACTCTGGGCCTGGGCGCTGTCCCTCAGCTCTTCAGCTCAAGGCTAGCGCTCTACCACTTGAGCCACAGCGCCACTTCCGGCTTTTTTCTTTTTTGCTTATGTGGTGCTGAGGAATCGAACCCAGGTCCTCATGCATGCAAGGCAAGCGCTCTACCACTGAGCCACCTTCCCAGCCCCGACAGGACTTCTTTTGGAGCCAAACAGGACAGAAATTATTTCCTGATCCTGTTTCTTCCTTGAGCAGGTGACTCACCTGTCTCAGGCTTCCATTTCTCAAGTGTCAAATGGAGACTGAGGTGCCGGCCCCACAAATGGGTTATGCAGAGTAAACAAGACCCTTAGTCTAAAGCCCTTAGCATAAGGGTACAATGGATGAAGAGCTTAGCATTTGCCAACCTCTATAGCCTAGGAGCAGTTAGAACTTAGCAAAGATGGTGACCTCTGTCCACAGAAACACCCCCTCTCTCCTTCCCCTCCCAAATATTGCTCCTGGACAATAGCCTTGGTTTTGTTTTTGGTTTTGGTTCATTGGTTGGTTTTGTGCTGGTCCTGAAACTTGAATTCAAGGCTAGCACTCTACCACTTGAGCCACAGCTCCACTTCTAGCATTTTTGTGGTTAATTGGAGGTAAGAGCTTCATGGACCTTCCTACCTGGGCTGGTTTTGAACCACAATCCTCAGCTCTCAGCCTCCTGAGTAGCTAGAATTACGGGTATGAGCCACGGGTGCCTGGCTTTTTGGTTTTTCCTTTGGATGAAACGCCACACTCTCTTCCTTTCTGGCTTATCTTCCCAAAAGAGAACTGTTGAGTTCTTCCTCTTTGGGTATCAAGTCATAATTCATACATTTGCCAGGTTTGGGACAATGCCTATGTCAATGGGATGGCCCTTGGGAGTCAAGGAAACCTAGCAGGTAGCTTGCTGTCTGTCACCAAGCAAGATGATTCAGGCAGGCCAAGGTACCCATCCCATAGGCTACTTACAATCTCTACTACTTTATTCAAATCATTCACCCTTTCTGAGCTTCTGTAAGGCAAGGGGGAAAAATCCATCTGTGAAATTACTGAGTTAAAGCCAGCCCCAAGCCAAAAGTCAGAACTCAGCCAGCAGTGATGCTGTCATTACCGAGAGTGGGAAAGTCTTTCTGTCTGGGGTTAGTCCCAGAAAGGACCAACAAGACTTTACCAGCTCATTAAAACCAAGGAGGCCATTCTAGGTTTTGCTAATCCTGAGTTTTCTGGAAAAAGCCCCTCACTGGGAAGCTATATGTGTCTCTGCCACCTTAGCCCATGGAAGCCATACCATGCCCAAGGCCTGCCATACTCAGAAAGATCTGGGAGCCAGGTGCTGGGGGGTTATGTCTGTAATCCTAGCTACACAGAAGGCTGAGATTGGAGGATCTCCGTTTGAAGCCAGCCTGGGCAGGAAAGTCCGTGAGACTCTTACTTTCAATTCATCAGCAAAAAGTTAGAAGTGGAGCTGTGGCCTACGTAGTAAAATGACAAAAAGCTAAGTGAGATCCAGTATCTGCACAAGAGGAAAACAAAAAGGGAAAAAGAAGGAGCTGGGGAATGCTGGCATATCCATGCAGCACTGAGCTGGTATAGCATTGCAAGACAGAGGAAAGAAGGGAGTGAGCTGGGGTCAGACTGACTGCGACCTTCTGCGGATTGGTGGCAGACTCCAGGAGGTGGGTACCATGTGAGAGCGGCAGAATGGAATTCAGCACTTTACATGTGCTGTTCCTCTCTATCCCTTACCCCCAGTAACCCCAAGATGTGGATACCCCCTTTCCCATGAGCCACTAGACTATGCTCCATTACCTCAGCCTGCTCTGCCTTTAGCAGCCAGAGATTTAAGCAAAGGTTCCAAGAAGAGCAGGTGGGAAGGGACTAGAGGCCAATGCTCCCTTCACTCGCCCCTCCATGATGTCCCAGCTCCAGGTTTCTCTAACTCCAGAGCCCCTTCCTCCTCAGGGTCTTAACCACCCTGGTCAAGATCAGTCCAACAAACCCACTCCCCTCACACTACTGCCCAGTCTTCGAATGGAGAATGTGTATAGTGCTCCTTCCTCCAGGCAGCTTTCCCAGATTCCTCCTAGCCCTAGAGAACTCACCCTTCCACTGAAGATATTTCCTTGTTTCTGGCTTAGAGTTCTTAGAGCGATGGAAGCTAGCCTGTCTCCTTGAGTCCTAACGGCAGAAAACTGTGGGTCCCAAAGAGAGGGGTGTGTGACCTGGTTTGAAAATTTGGGAAGACAGTCTCTTACATGCAGGCCTGATTCTGCCTCTTAGTAGCTGAACCACTGGACCTCAGGTTAACCTTCTCTCTGCCTCAGTTTCCTCCTTTGCAAAGAAGCTGACGTGTCACCCCAGAGTGATTACAGAAATCAATGATGTGCCCAGTGTGGGGTAGATGTCAATAGGCTCTTTGCTGGCCTTGCTCTAAACCTGTGCTGCCTTGTTGAGCTGGGGCTAAGGCCGATGCCTTGCTCTGACCACCTGATGAGGCCTCTGCCACGAGCACTGAGGATTCCAGTGGCCCGCCTGTTACCTACCCGCCTAGGAGTCCAGCACATGAGGCCTTCCCTCGGAGGCTCATCTGATACATCTGAGCCATCTCCCTCAGGGTCTCTGCTGAGTACAGGCCAATGGGGTTGTTATACTGCCTTGGTTGGCTCGGACCTGGCAGGACTTTGGGGCTGAGTGGGCCCTGGGTGCCCTCCAGACTGGCCTTGGCCCCTGAGCTGCCCCGTGGAGGACTGGAGTCCAAGGAGCAGACAGAGGCCTGGGAGAAGGAGGAGCTAAAGGTGTCCCTGAGCTCCAGGGTGCCCGAGCTGGCCCTCGCCTCGGGGCTGGGCGCCGCCAGGCTGCCATTCGTGTCCACAGCAGGGTCCTGGCACAGGGCAGCGCCATGCAGGGGAGAAAGAAAAGATTGGTTAGAAGCCACACATGGTAGGCACGCTTCTGCATGGACTTGAAACAGATGTGTTAGTGTAAGTACCCATGCCCCCCCACACACACACTTGGCAGACAGCTCTCTGGGATGCTCTGCCCGGGGTAGGCATGGGTCTGGGGGCTGTCATAGCTCAGGACAGAATGCAAAGCTCTGCATAGAAAGCCAGGCCTGTCTGTCCCTGGGGCCCTCCATATCCTGTGTCCGGGCCCCCTTTTCCTCGTGATATGGGCACCCCATGAATGCAGCCCAACTTCCTGCTTTATTGACGCCACACTGAGAGACTAAGACCCCATGCGGCCAGGGAGACAAAGGCCTCATGACTGACTTGGCATTTGGGATGGAGAGGAAGAATTTAAAGAAGCAGGCAGGCTGCTTGTTTCCTGTCCACTTCTGTGAATTCCCACAAGTCCCCTGCCCAATACCCAGTCTGTAAGCCACCCTTCCCCAAGCTGCCTCTTCTTCCCATTTCTCCAGCCTTTCCCACAGGACAGAAAGCCAGGCTGCATTTGTGCAGGGGTAGAAAGAGCAGTAGGGTGGATCTCCCAAGCTTTGGATGAGGCCTTTAGGCCCACAGGATTGAGCTTCTTAGAGCAAGTTTGGGAAGGGCCCTTGGGCACAGTGATGAGGTCTAGGGCCAGGGTATTCTGTCCTCTCCCCATGCTGTGCCTGCCTCTCCAAAAACAACAGTTTTTGGGTTTTTCTTTTAATACCGGTTCTGGGTTTTGAACTCAGGGCCTGAGCATTTTTGCTTAAGACTAACACTCTACTACTTCAATCCCAGATCCACTTCCGGATTTTTGCTGGTTAATTGCAGATAAGAATCTCACAGACTTTCTTGCCCTAGCTGGCTTCAAACCAGGATCCTCAGATTGCAGCCTCCTGAGTAGCTAGGATTACTGAGTAGCTAGGTGTGAGCCACCAGCACCCAGCAACCAACACTTCTGATGGGCAATAAAGGTGTGCAGTTACTGGAGGCACACCAGAAATAAACCAGAAGAAATGTGAATGGGAAGAAGAGCCCAGGATAAAGGGGCAAACCTTGCTAGCCAGAGGAGTGTGGCCAACGCAAGCAGGACTCAGTGAGATCAACTTCGATTAGCATCAGAGCTTTCTGAATGCCTACCTGCCTGGTCAAAAAGATGGCCCCTTGCCACGCACTGGTAGCTCACTCCTGTAATCCTAGCTACTCAGAAAGCTGAGATCTGAGGATTGTGGTTCGAAGCCGGCCTAAGCAGGAAAGTCCATGAGACTCTTATCACCAATAAATCACCAGAAAACTGGAAGTAGAGCTGTGGCTCAACTGGAAGTGGAGTGTTGGCTTTAAGCACAAAGATCTCAGGGACAGTGTTCAGACCCTGAGTTCAACCCTGCCAGAAAAGAAAGGAAGGAAGGAAGGAAGGAAGGAAAGATAGCCTTTTTCTGAGACCATGGCTGTCCAAGCTGCTTTCCTATCAGCCCAGCTGATGGGGGGTGGGCTGGTGCCTGGCCCCCAAGCAAGCAACCTCACAGCTTGGTATTTCATGGGGGCTCAAATGCCTCTCCAAGGAGCGAGCATGGCAGGGCCAGGAAGGCCAGATTGAAGGCCAGGATCCAGGGCTCACGATGAGCACCTACCTTCTGATGAGGGATCACTGGCAGAGGGGACTGGATTGGAGGCGCTGATGTGGAGATGGTGATGGGACGCTTTGACCTGGAAAAAGCAGAAATGGGACCAAGTGAGGATGATCATCCCTGGGGCCAGGAGCTCCTGCCTGGGCGGGGCCTGGCAAGGGGAGAGTAAGAGAGCTGGTGGCCAGGCCAAAAGGCCCCTTAGGTTCACTGTCCACCCTATAGGCTCAGTCTCCCCCAAGAAAGTACTAGGTCTGATCAGCACGTGGGAGTCAATACCCATTGTGGACCTCTGCTATGTGTTTATAGGGCTCCTGGGCAAAGAGGAAGCAAGAAAGATCCAGGTTTCCAGCCACCCTCTCTGGGTCTCATCTGTAAAGTAAAGCATTGCGATTTTAGGCCTACTACTTCCAGCACAGCGCTATAACACCAAGCTGGGCCCAGGCAATGGCTTGAGACCATCCCTCTTTTGCCCCAGCCTATAACCAAACCTCTGCCCTTGCTCTGAAGAACTTCCACTTACTTTTGCAGAGTGAGACTCAAGTTGTAGCTGGCAGACTTGATCTTGTTCTGGGCCTCCAGGTGGGTCATAGTGTCTGTGTTGACACCGTCAATGGCTACCACAAGGTCTCCTTGGCTGAGCTGGGACTGGGCCGCCTTGCTTCCTGGGGTGATCTGGTTGGACAGCAGAAATGGGGTGAGCATAAGAAGGTTGGGCCGGGCACCGGTGGCTCACGCCTGTAATCTTAGCTACTCAGGAAGCTGAGATCTGAAGATCTCAGTTCAAAGCCAGCCCAGGCAGGAAAGTCCGTGAGACTCTTATCTCCAATAAACCACTAGAAACCCGGAAGTGGCGCTGTGGCTCAAGCAGTATTGCGCTCACCCTGAGCTGAAGAGTGCAAGGACAGCGCCCAAGCCCAGAGTTCAAGCCCCCTGACCGACAAAAAAAAAGAAGAAGGTTGGGCCTTGCTGAGCACCAGTGGCTCATGCCTGTAATCCTAGCAATTCAGGAGAGCTGAGGATTGCAATTCAAAGCCAGTCCAGGCAGGAAAGTCTGTGAGACTCTTATGTCCAATGAAGCACCAAAAATCCCGATGTGGGGCTGTGGCTCAAATGGTAGAGCACTAGCCTTGAGAAAGAAAAAAAGCTCAGGAACAACACCTAGGCCCTGAGTTCAAGCCTAAGGACACACACATACACAACCCCACTAGTGCCAGGAGCTTTGTTCTACCATGAAAGGTGCAGAGGACTGAGGAATCCTTGAACCCTGGCTGGATGAGCAAAGCCAGCTAGGAAATTGGGCAAGGTTTGTGGCTTTATATCTTCAGAAGGGGGAATGCAGTTGGGGGAGTTAGTTCCCAAATGACATGTCCCAATGATGTCACAGCATGTTAGAGTCTGGAGGCACCAGGTGCAGTGTGGCTGCACAGAATGCCACTGAAATGCTACCTAGAAACACTCCCATAGGGCTCTTAGTGAGACCACACTCCCCTTGGAACACTACTTGGAATCCAAACTGCATTCTCAGTGACATCATACACAATGGCAAATTTTGAAGGCCTGGATCCCAGTCATACCATGCTAAATGCTGTGGGAAGCCCTACCCCAGTGACATCACAGGAGTAAAACAAAAATTGCACGGGGGTGGGGGTAGGGAGAAGTTGGGGAGGTGGGGAGGGAAGGGTTAGTAGGGGAAAAACAAAGGAGGGGATAACAATGCTCTATAGGAAATGTACTAATTACTTTATTCATGTAACTATAACCCTTCTGTACAGTATCTTTACAATAAAAAATATTTTAAAAAATTGCAACCAAGTGCCCTGTTCACCACCCAAAAAGCTGGAAGTGAAGTGGTGGCTCATGTGCACTAGCCTTGAGCAAAAATGTTCAAAGACCAAGTGGCTGCAAAGATGAGCATCTTGCCCTAGCTTCCTTGTCTACTGTCCTTCCCTCAGTGCTTCCCAGGCCACGCCCACAACCTCAACAATGGGGGAGCCCAGTAATGGTGCTAACAAGGACACACAGGAGCAGCCTTCGGTGTGCCTGGCTCCATCCTAAACACCTTTTCCTTTATTCCTCACCATGTGGCCCTGGGAAAGGTCAGTGACAGGATAGGGACATGAACCAGACTCTGCTTTGAAGTCCTGGCCTTCAATTCCACAGCTTCCTCATTAGGTTAGCTAGACATGAGTCCTTGGTGGGCTCCATTCCTTGGGGTGTGCCATGTTGCAGTAGGTTAGAAACACAGCTCTGGGATGAATTGAGATGCATTTAATTCAAAAACAGAAAAAAAAAAAACCTCGGGCTCTAAGTTCAAGCCCCAGGATCGGCACACAAAATAAATAATAATAATTCAGAGGACCTAAGGATATCACCTAAAATGGCTTGATGGACCTCCCCAATTAGTATTAGCAGTCCTACCCCTAAAGATATCTCACGGGATGTCCTGGAGACACGGGCTCCACGCCTCATGACTCCCTATGGAACACTCCAGTCCCCTAGGAAACACGGGAATAACTTTAGGACCTGACCTTCATGGAATGCCATTCAGGCTCACCCCTGAGGATATTATTGGAAAGAGGAGGCTCCAGCTATGGCTAGAGGGTGTCCCTTTGCTTTCTCTCCCCCAACGCACCCTCCAGCCAGCTCAAACTTCTCTGGGCTCCCTCCAGTCACCTTCTGGGATCCAATCTAGGCACCTGGCCAGTTCCTTACTTTGGCAGAAGCCAGATTCTGGCCAAGGCATAGGGTCCATCCTATGAGCCCAGAAAGGACTGGAAGATAGTCCCAAGTTTCATGTGCCAAGCCTGGGTAGGCCTCCAGCCAGACCTAGGGCTTGTAGACATGGATGGTAGCCTCTTACCAGGCCAGGGTGCCCTGCCATCACCACTTCCAATCTGTCGAACCTATTCGATAGGGTATACCCAGGAACGGAGGTTTTTTCCTAACCCCATCACTGGTCCCAGACCAGAAACTACCCCACATCATGTAAGCCATAACAGAGAAAGACTTGTAAGTTCTTCCCTGGTCAGTGACTGCTGACCTGCGTTTGCAGCTCTGAGAGCCTTTTTTTTTTTTTGGCCAGTTTCTGGTCAGGGCCTGGACACTGTCCCTAAAACTTTTTCAGATTGAGCCACAACTTCTGGCACTTTGTGTGTGATTAATTGAAGAGTCTCCTGCAGGGGCTGGCTTTGAACCATGATCCTGAGATCTCAGCCTCCTGACAAGTTAGAATTACAGGTGTGAGCCACCAGGCCTCCAGCTCGCTAAGACCCTTCTCTTGTTTCAAGAGTACCCCTCCCAGGCTGGGAAGGTGGCTCAGTGGTAGAGTGCTTGCCTTGCATGCTTGAGGCCCTGGGTTCGATTCCTCAGCACCACATAAGCAAAAAGAAAAAAGCTGGAAGTGGTGCTGTGGCTCAAGTGGTAGAGCGCTAGCCTTGAGCTGAAGAGCTGAGAGACAGCGCCCAGGCCCAGAGTTCAGGCCCCCTGACCGGACCCCAAAAAAAAAAAAAGAGTACCCCTCCCTTAACCCCTGGATATAAGGGCTAAGGTGGGGACAGTGGAAAAGCAGAGGCCCGGATGGCCAAGAAGCCATACTCCATAGCCCAGCCCACTGCCAAGACTTCACAGGAGACATGTATACCCCTAGATATATCTACAAACACATCCTCACCCCCAAAATCATTGCCAGAGGGAGCCTCTTCCCACAACAGGAATATGTTACTATCTTTGGATGCAGAGAGTGAACCAAGGGCATTGACCCAGGAACAAAGAAGAAACACAAAGCCCTTCCCAAGGGAGAGAGGACTCCTGAGGGCAAATGGGGCTGCCTAACCACCACAGTGTTCTTTGGAAAAGCCATTCCACCTTCTGCTTTCCTGTGCTGGCTAGGGAATCCCCAGCAAACATCACAGACATTTTTAAACAAAACAAAACAAAAAACAGTTGAGGCAGGTATCAGTGGTTCACATCTGTAATCCTAGCTACTTAAGAGGCTGAGATCTGAGAATGAGGTTCAAAGCCAGCCTGGGAAGACAAATGTATAAGACTCTTCTCTCTTATTTTCTAGTAAAAAAGTTGAAAATGGAGCTGTAGCTCAAAAGTAAAAAAGCCAAGTGGGAACATGTGCCAATACTGGCACACGTAAGAGACAGAGACAGGGAGAGACAGAGAGACAGAGACAGGGAGAGACAGAGAGACAGAGACAGGGACAGGGAGACAGAGACAGAGAGACAGAGACAGGGAAGAGACAGAGACAGGGAGAGACAGAGACAGAGAGAGAAACAGAGAGACAGAGACAGGGAGAGAGAGAAACAGAGACAGGGAGAGACAGAGACAGGGATAGGGAGACAGAGACAGAGACAGAAAGGGAGTGAAAATTTCTACTATGAGTACCCAGATATTCACCACTATCCTATCTTATCACCACTGTAAAATCTCACTGTAATATTTCATCATATGGTGATCTTGCAATTTTATCTTACTTTAGAGACAATTCAAGAAACATTGTGAATACTAGGTACTTCTGTCCAGGATAAATTTTTGTTACATTTTGCTTTGGGTCCCATCCCCCTCTCCCTCATTTTGACATGCCAGTGCTGTCTATTAGAGCACATTGCAGGCAACCCCCCTAGCAGAACAACCTCATAGAAAAACATCTTACAGTGGACCCCCTCCCATGGCAGTCACCCCACAACAGGCCCCTGCCATAGCAGTTTATCCCACAAAAGGACACTAACCATCCATGGAGAAGGGGCTGACCCTGCAGTTGAAAGCTTAGGGTAGAGTAGGGCAGGGTAGCTGCAAATCTCACACAAGGGATGAGGCTACAGCCAGAAGATCAGGATAACACTATGACCAAGGGCACCAGAATGACATCCAAGGGGGGCTGGGCCCAATGAGTGAGAGCCAGCTGCAGGCCATCTAGAACTCCCTCCCTTCAAAGTTGCCTGGTGACATCTCTGTCCCCCAGGCACAGGCCAGCTTGTGCCCATCCTTCCTTTGTTGGGTCTTGCCTCACTCCCTTTCATCCTCAGGTGTAGGCTGGGGTGATTCTTATTCCTGGGGAGAACTCAGCCTCCCTAAGGCCTGGTCAGTAGCCAAATGTTCCAGAAGGAAGCTGCCAATCTGGCTCCTGCCTGCCCCTGGCGCCTCTTTCCCTGCACCTGTGTCTGTCCATCAGGGTGCAGCTGGCCTGGCCTTTGGCTGCCCTGATCAGAGCCCAGTGTCCCTCAGAGTACAAAGGGGTGGGGTACAGATATTTTCTTATAGGAAGGGCCTCTTGTACTCCACTCAAGTGTCCTTAGACAAGGAGGCCAGATGGAGCCAGGGTCCCTAAAGGGCCATCAGATCCTTCTCCTTCTGCCACAGAAACAGTTCAAGCTCGCCAGGGGGAGGGGAGAGGCTCTCTGGGACCCTTGCCCGGAGCCCAGACCCAAAGCTCATGGAAAGAGTAGCGCAGGCCTGACGTGTAAGCATGACGTGTGTCCCTCATCTGACTCTCCACTCCCCTGCTGACTTTGTCCCAGAAAAGACTCAAAGCACTCAAGTTCTTGGAGATTGGGTTGTTCATTTGTTTGTTTAACTTTGTTTTTTATTTTCTGTGCCTGAATTCAGGGCTTGAATTCAGGACCTGGGGATTGTCTCTGAGCTCCTTTTGTTCAAGGCTAGTGCTC